TGTCCTTTAGGACTTGGGGTGATTAGGCCCCAAGGTATATAACGCTTAAGGCACTGCAGACACATAAAGCTCTGTGCTTGGTACATTGGTGGGACCTAGGAAACAGTAGTTATCATGACTCCATAATTCCCAACATTTCTCTCTCCTGCCTGTCCCCATTCATCTTAACCATTGGCAGTGCAGCTTCTTCTTCCTACATCCTTCCAGGTTTGATAGCATTCTTAAACCTTCAAGTTTATAGTCTTCTTGCCTCATTTTAAACCTTTTTGTGGGGCGCCTGGGTGGCGCAGTCGGTTAAGCGTCCGACTTCAGCCAGGTCACGATCTCGCGGTCCGTGAGTTCGAGCCCCGCGTCGGGCTCTGGGCCGATGGCTCGGAGCCTGGAGCCTGTTTCCGATTCTGTGTCTCCCTCTCTCTCTCTGCCCCTCCCCCGTTCATGCTCTGTCTCTCTCTGTCCCAAAAATAAATAAACGTTGAAAAAAAAAAAAATTTAAACCTTTTTGTAATTTAAACCTTTTTGCAGCTATAGGATATATTAATTCCCAGGACTGAAAATGAAGCTATTTGGGGCTGGAGTGGGAGATAAAAATCGATTGGGCCCCCACTCAGAAGCAGGATCAAATCCAGATGACAGGAGACATGTTCCCCTTCTTGTTGAGTTGTAAGTCTCTCACAGCAGCCCCAGAGAAGCACTCAGCGTCCTGTGTCCCAACCGGGAAAAAAAAAAAAAAAAAAAAAAAAAAAAAAAAAAAATGTGTAGCTCTCTGAGACATGATAAAACGTAAAACATGGTATTTCGTGAAGCCAGTTTCTTAATCATGAAATCAAAGTCACCATTTTATTTACTTTGCAACAGTTTGTTGCCTTTTAAGATGGAATCCTAAAGCAAAAATAATCTGTGAGCACCACCTTGTGGAAAGATCTACAACAACATCAATCTTTATTCATCGAACACCTATTTAATGTGCTGGTGCTGAGGATAGAGCAGTAACCGGACAAAAATCCCTGGCCTCGTGGAACTTACTTTCCAGCGGGAAGACAGAAAATAAACAACATCAGTAAGTGAAACACATGATGTTTTAGAGGGTGCTGAGTGCTATGGAGAAAAATAAAGCACAGAAGAGGGATAGGGTATGCAAGGCCTTACTGAAAAGGTGATTTTGAACAAAGGCTTGAGAGAGAGAGGGAAGAGCCAGCCATGCAGTTACCTGCGGTAAGAGCCATGTGGATAGAAAGGCACATGCAAAGCCGTAAGTGGAAATGTGCTTGGTGAATTTGAGGAATTAGCGTTGAAGGCACTGCCCAGAGCAAGTGTGGAGGAGATGGCAGGAAAGTGCGAGGGAAAGCAGGGGCCACATCACATGGGCCCTTTCTGGTCATAAGGATTCAGCATCTACTCCAGATGAGACAGGAGCCTTACGAGGCTGTGAGCAGAGAAGATGATACTTTTTTTTTTTTTTTTTTAAACAGGATTTCTTTGATTGAAGGAGTCAGGGGAAGAAACGGAGATACTGTTTTTGGACCCAAGCAAGAATGGCCCCTGCCCTGAGCTCCATGCTTTAGAGGGTTCTGCATAAAACAAACACACAGCATGTAAATTTATGATAGTACCCAAGGCATCTTTTCTAGAGATCAAGGCTCCATTCTAGCACAGCACAGCTTGCAGTCTTAAATAAGTATTCCTATTACAATCAGTTTCAGGCCCTGGGGAAACTCGTCTCCACACCTCTTGCCTAATGTTCATCAAATAAAAGGTGATTGTCTCCAAATGCCATCAAGGCTAATGGGCGGTATTGCTGCAAACATAGGAGATGGATACTCCTTTCGGGTGTGAAGAGGGTTTGAGCAATGAATGTGCTTAATTAAGAGAAATACAACTTATCAACTTCCTAAGATTGTATCTCAGGTGAGCTGAGCATCCATTTTCTTGCTCTCTTCATGTTCCAGTTCATCATTCTTGAAGTACTCAGTGGCTGGAAATATTAAACAATTCATCTCTCTCTAAATTTGTATGTATGCAGGCCCACACAGAAAATTCAAGATGGATCTAGATTCTAGAATATTGTGTTGAGATGGTGGAAATGGCAGTAGAAGTGATCATTGTTTATATGATGAAATTTAAGTATTTGCAAAATTGTTTACCATCATAATGCATTATGCACAACCCTAATTACAATTTTTGAACATGGTATGTACTATTCATGGTTCATTTTTAAAACTTATTGTTAACCCAGCTAAGCAAATATTCTCCAAATTGAAATTAACTTTTAAAAATTAATTTTTTAGGGGCGCCTGGGTGGCTCATTGGTTAAGTGTCTCACTCTTGATTTCAACTCAGGTCATGATCTCACAGTTCGTGAGTTCGAGCCCCATGTCAGGCTCTGAGCTGACAGTGCAAAGCCTGCTTGGGATTCTCTCTGTCTCTCCATCTCTCTCTCTCTCAAAATAAAATAACTTTTAAAAAGTAATAATTTTTTTATTTTTTTATTTTTTTATATCTATTTTTATATTAAATATAATTTATTGTCAAATTGGCTTACATACAACACCCAGTGCTCATCCCAACAGGTGCCCTCCTCAATGCCCCTCACCCACTTTCCCCTCTCACCCCCCCCATCAGCCCTCAGTTTGTTCTCAGTATTTAAGCGTCTCTTATGGTTTGCCTCCCTCCCTTTCTGTAGCTTTTTTCCCCCCTTCCCCTCCCTCATGGTTTTCTGTTGAGTTTCTCAGGATCCACATATGAGTGAAAACATGTGGTATCTGTCTTTCTCTGCCTGACTTATTTCACTTAGCATAACACCCTCCAGTTCCATCCACATTGCTACAAATGGCCAGATTTCATTCTTTCTCACTGCCGAGTAGTATTCCATTGTATATATAAACCACATCTTCTTTATCCATTCGTCAGTTGATGGACATTTAGGCTCTTTCCATAAGTTGGCTATTGTTGAAAGTGCTGCTATGAACATTGGGGTACAAGTGCCCCTATGCATCAGCACTCCTGTATCCCTTGGGTAGATTCCTAGCAGTGCTATTGCTGGGTCATAGGGCTGACAGTGCAAAGCCTGCTTGGGATTCTCTTTGTCTCTCTGCCTCTGTCTCTCTCTCAAAATAAAATATCTTTTAAAAAGTAACAATTTTGGGGGCGCCTGGGTGGCTCAGCTGGTTAGGCGTCCGACTTTAGCTCGGGTCATGATCTCACAGTTCTTGAGTTCAAGCCCCTCATGGGGCTCTGTACTGACAGCTCGGAGCCTGGAACCTGCTTCAGATTCTGTGTCTTCCTCTCTCTCTGCCCCTCCCCCACTCACTCTCAAAAATGAATAAATGTTAAATAAAACTTTTTAAAAAGTAATTTTTAAAAAATAACATGAATTATGTGGAAAACTTAATTATGAAAACATACACTTTGCTAAATTTAAGTTTTAAAAATAACATCTAGAGGATAAAAGTATAGTAATTCATTAACATCTTTCTCTACTAGTCATCCAAATACCACCTGCCCATTAATAGAACAGCCAGACACACACAATAGTAATTTAGTCATCTTTGATAGTTTGTTAACTGTCAGTCCTAAAAACCATAGCTTTTTTTTTCACTTTTTCAACATGAAAATATACATTAAAATAAGAGGATAGAATATATTTTCAATAAATATATTTTAAATATACATATAAATCTCAAAAGGGAATCACGTTTTTCAAAGTTTATTTTTCTGGAAGAGCAAGAGCTGCCTATCACCCACTTCCCAGTTTGACTCACTGAGGTTTTCAAATCTATGTAACTACATGCCTTCGTTGATCCAAATTTAATTTGGATTCAATAAATTAGTTTCTTTTAAAAATGAGGCTGCTAAGTTGTTATATATTCACAATTATTGAATATTCACATTGCAAGTGAATTCCCAAATACCCACCTGTTCAGTGAATAACCAGAATTAATTAGTATAGACATGATGATAATGAAGCCAAACAACTTATCCAAATTAAATGTTCTTCCATGAAGAAAGGAAGGGCTGAAATTTTAGATCAATAATGATTTAATTTTACTCTTGACTCTTTGGGGGACATTTAGTTTTTCTAAGCACAACAATTTGATGAATGGCTGGATCTTTGCTATGACTCAGCAATAGCTTTATCAACTTTCCTTTGTTCTTAAATGTTTATTTATTTTGAGAGAGAGAAAGAGAGAGAGAGAGCACATGAACATGCATATGTGGAAGAGGGGCAGAGAGAAAGGGAGAGAGAGAGTCCCAAGCAGGCTCTGTGCTGTCAGCAAAGAGCCCAATGAGGAGCTCGGTCCCACAAACCGCGAGATCATGACCTGAGCCGAAATCAAGAGTCCAATGCTTGACTGATTGAGCCACCCAGGAGCCCTTTTACAAACTTACTTTTTACCTTTTATCCAACACACATGGCCACCTAATACAGGATTTTTATGGGCAAACTTTTGCATTGATTAATTTTGAATATATTTTAGCTATTTTTTATCATTCTTTCTGTGCATTCTCCTTGAATTAAACTGACAAGGGAATAGCTCCATTTCGTTGGAGGTCAATCCTAACAGTGTCTAAACTCTTGAGACATACCAGCCCATCATGTGTCACTTGTTAGCCTTACACTCACACAGAAAAGAGTTGCACACACCTATATGAGATATACAAGATATTTGGTAAGAATATATTTATTAATTACAGATGTCAATCATATTTTATATGCAGATATTATTTAAATGGCATGGGAAATGGCATTATAATGCTAAATGAAAAAAGCTAACTACAAAATTAATAGACACATGTTTCCAATACATATAAATATATTTTTTAAAAGTGATGTCTTAAAATAGGCAGAGTAATTGACTTTAGGTTATACAATATTTTTCTTATTTTTTCTGTATTATTTTTATACTCATGAAAAACATAATGAAAGTTGTTCTTTTTAGTAACACTACCTGTGTTGCCTGACTTATTCCACTGAACCCAAACTACAGTGTTCAAGACACAGCTTATGGTGAAATTCCAGAATTTTCCTCTGGGTACAAAAGGAACCCAGTAAAAATGCTATCATCCTCAGGGCTGACATAGACCCCATTCCAATCTTTCGAAACTTCCAACCAGACTTGGTCCCCTGCACTTAATTTCAGGATGATAAGAAGAGAGGCCTGGTCTATTTCATGGCCATAGAGCGTTTCTCTGGACTTGAACTGCTTCTTATTCCGGGCCACCAGGCTGATGCGAGCGGGTCTGCCCCTCACAGTGACATGGTAGGAAAATACATATGCGCCAGGAACACTACAGTTAAATTTGCCAGTGACAGGGCTGTAATTCCCTTGGTCATTATAGAGAACCTTGTCAAATTTGATTGGGATGTTGGGAGGAGGGAAAGGCTTCGATAAAGTGGCGCTGAAGGCTGACCGCAGCACTCTGGCCACCTCCCCCTTGGAGCCTTTGAAGCCCCGAGAGCCCTTCTTGCCAATAGATCCCCGGACCCCTTTGCTCCCAACCTCACCTTTTGGCCCCACAGGCCCCGCAAGACCAGGAGGACCTAACTCTCCCTTTTCTCCTTTAACTCCTGGATCCCCTGGGGCCCCAGGCAGGCCATCTGGGCCGCCTTTGCCTTCCGTTCCAGTATCTCCTTTGCTACCTTTTTCCCCTTTCAGACCCTCCTCACCTTTTTCTCCCTTCCCTCCCCTCTGCCCAGACTCCCCACAGCAGCCCTTTTCCCCCATCTCCCCTTTCTCTCCCTTGGCCCCAGGCTCTCCATTCAAGCCAGGTGAGCCCGCAGCCCCCTGGTCTCCTTTATCTCCTTGGGTACCATTTGCACACGTGTCCCCTTTGGAGCCTTTTTGCCCCTTCACTCCGGTCAGTCCGATGTTTCCTCTCTCCCCCTTAGGACCAAGGCCACCTGAAACAGAAAGTTCAAATGACATTCAAGGATCACATTGAACAGAACGCTATTACCACAGAGCTCACGAAACAGAAATGACACCTACTCACTGAGACTGGAACCCCAACTCCTGTCTCAGCCACAGCTGTGCCATTTGGATCCTGCGGCTCTCTCACAGGGGGAGGAGTTAATGCCACCAAGGAGTGACAACCTATATTTAAATCTCATAAATCTAGTTCTATTTTTTTTAGTACTTTTAAGATAAGAAACAGGATTTAGAACCACAGCGACCCATGGTAGTCCACTACCCTTTGTGTTTTGGCCCAACCCAAGTATTCCCCTACATCTCCACGAAGTCCATCCAAACCCAAAATCTCACAGGCAGAGAAGCTGAAGCTGTCTTTTTCCCAAAGACAGCTAGACTGAGGACACGAGCTCAGAAGCTTTTATTTAGTCTCCAAACTACGTGACCAGCACTTGTTGCACTCCAGCAATCGGGACACTGAAGTATGAGAATAAAAGCAATTCATATGTCCATCTTACCTCCTGCATAAGTACAAACAGGAAGAAAATTAGGGGCTGTGCTGCACACATGGCTGAACGCAATAGATACAGTTTATACTCTACCTGGTTCTCCGGGTTTTCCCGGGTATCCTGGGGCTCCACTTGTTCCTTGGTCCCCACGTTCCCCCTTAAATCCTAAAATGATACCAAGATTAACTTTCTTCCAACTATATTAGTTATGGTATAACTAACATCCATTTTGCAACCATGTTACAATCCAACACTTCCTCTACCAAAATGGATAAAGGAAAAACGATATGGGAAAAAAATTTATCGAGCACGATTAGGAATATTTTGTTCCAGTTGATGGTGAACCATTTATTTTTTTTTTTAATTTTTTTTTCAACGTTTTTATTTATTTTTGGGACAGAGAGAGACAGAGTATGAACGGGGGAGGGGCAGAGAGAGAGGGAGACACAGAATCGGAAACAGGCTCCAGGCTCCGAGCCATCAGCCCAGAGCCTGACGCGGGGCTCGAACTCACGAACCGCGAGATCGTGACCTGGCTGAAGTCGGACGCTTAACCGACTGCGCCACCCAGGCACCCCAGATGGTGAACCATTTAAACAAGATTTGGGATAGTGCCAATCTCTTTGCACAAAATTCAGCTTTTCCCCCAGCATTCCCCTTGCTCTTCAAATCTCTCATGAAATTCATGATATTTTGTCTTGTTATTTATGTGTTTGTTTTTTCTTCTTATGAATCTTCAATAACAGTTAAAATATCCCCTTCTTTATGTTCCCCACAATGCCTAAAAAAGAGTGTCACCACCATATAACACAGAGCACACATTCTGCAATTAGCTAAAACTAATCATATCAAAAACCCTTCCCGGGGCACCTGGGTGGCTCAGTCGGTTAAGCTTCCGACTTTGGCTCAGGTCATGATCTCACGGTTCGTGGGTTCGAGCCCCAGGTTGGGCTCTGTGCTGACAGCTCGGAGCCTGGAGCCTGCTTCAGATTCTGTGTCTCCCTCTCTCTCTCTGCCCCTCCCCCACTCATACTCTGTCTCTCAAAAATAAATAAAATATTAAAAAATTAAACAAAAAAAAAACCATCCAGGATAGTGAATATAAATACAAATATAAATATAAAATGTAAATATACAGTCCTTGACATAGAGCATTAGGGAAAAGCCAATTTTCATTGTGTTTGGAATTTTTTTCATATGCTCTTTGGACAAATCACAGAACTGTAAAAATTCATGTTTGAAAAGAAATGTAAAGATCTAGGTTTTGGGATATTTCCCAGTGCCACAAAATGCATTTTTATACTGGACCTGCTTAAGGCCCCTCCTGTTACAGTACAACCACACTAAATTCATTTTTATTGAAAATGATAATAGCAGTAATAATAGTAGGAGGAATAATAGTTAACTTGTACTGAGCATTTCCTTTGTGCCAGGTAATGTTCCAAGTTCTTAACAAGATTTTTAAAGAATTTAATCCAGGGGCACCTGGGAGGCTCAGTCAGTTAAGCATCTAACTCTTGATTTGAGCACAGGTCATGATCTCACAGTTTCTGAGTTCAAGCCCTGTGTTGGGCTCCACACTGAGAGTGTGGAAGCTGCTTGGGATTCTGTGTCTCCCTCTCTCTCTGCCCTTCCCTTGCTTTCTCTCTCTCTCTCTTTCAAAATAAATAAATAAACTGTAAAAAAAAAAAAATTAATCTGGTGGCTCAGTCAGTTAAGTGGTCGACTCTTGATTTCCCATCAAGTTATGATCTCACTGTCATGAGATCCAGCCCAGAGTCAGGCTCTACATCCAGCATGGAGCCTGCTTGGTATTCTTTCTCTCCCACTCTCTCTGACCCTCCCCTGCTCGTGTGTGTGCATGTGCTCAAGTGCTCTCTCTCTCTTTCAAAAATAAAAAAATAAGTAAATAATTTTTAAAAATTAATCCAACCTTTTCAATTCAAAATTAATTCTCATTTGATATTAACATAGCCTCTTGGATAACAGGGAGACTCCTATAACAGAGCACATTTCATCAATGGGAACATTTTTCATTTACAGAAGTATATAGCATCTCCCCTCAAGAAAGATAGAGCAGTTATTTTTACCACTTTTTATCACAGAAGAAACTGAAGTATGAAAGTTTACAAATTTGTATACAGTCAAACATGACTGTATGTAACATTGGTTGGCATCAGTTTGCCAACCATATTATTTATGATACAACTAATATTTTTTACTTTTTTAATTTATTAATTTTTATTTATTTGGTTTTATAGATATAACTCCTTTCTTATGTGCTGAAAATTTTTAAATTTTACTTTCTTTTTTTTTTTAATTTAAACCCAAGTTAGTTAACATATAGAGTAGTAATGATTTCAGGAGTAGAATTTAGTGATCCATCATTTATGTACAACGCCCAGTGCTCATCCCAACAAGTGCCCTCCTTAATGCCCATCACCCATTTAGCCCATCCCCCCACCCAATATCCTTCCAGTAAGCTTCAGTTTGTTCTCTGTATTTAAGAGTCTCTTATGGTTTGCCTCCTTTCTTATCTTATTTTTACTTCCCTTCCCCTATGTTCATCAGTTTTGTTTCTTAAATTCCACATATGAGTGAAATTATGTGAAATTTGTCTTTCTCTGACTTACTTTGTTTTTTTGTTTTATTTTTGTTAGGGAAAAAGAAATCCCACGTCAAATTACAAATCGTGAGAAAAGACTCCCCCCACCACCAAATTTCACAAGACCAGCTAGAGAAATCCCACACAAACTGCTCAGCAGTTTTCTAAGTAGCTGACCCCCTTCCATTACCATTCCACATAAAATTTACAATTTGGAAATTAACCCCATAGGCCATCAGGAGAATATCTGTATCCCTTTGGAGAGAACCCAACTCTGAATGGAAGTGAAGGACTATTCTAACCCCCGTCCTTGTCAATACTCATATACCAGCCTTACTGCACAGTTATTCTGGTTCTCAAGTTCAATTTAACTGCTTACATTGAGTTTACTCAATCAGGGGGTGATGAACCAGAATGCAGTCATTCAACTCATTTATTATTTTAACTTTCAATCTTAACCAAGAGTCCAAGCTAAGTCTGGAAATAAAAAGAAAGTAGAGTTGCCCCTTTATAGAGACTGGCTGGATGAATTTCTACTTTTGATCTTTCATCAAAGTGTAATCTTAAGAACCTTATCTTATGATACTTCCCTGTTTTTTCTTCTACTTCCAGAAGTCTGGCTTCCAAAATGTATGAATCACTGGGGAGGTTCATCACTCATCTTTATTTCACAGGGCTTTCCGCTAACATAATTCAGCCACAAAAGGATTAAATGTTTCCGAGAATGAAAATCGCATAACTGACAACTGTGAAGGAGCTCTTTCTTACCTTAGCATCTTTTTGGAGTAACTACTTCACTGAATATTCTACTAGAAATGAGTTAGACAGTTCCTCAGCTATGTGGAGGGTGATGTATAGATGATATTAGGTCTTTTGACATGTGACACTGAGGCTAAAACATTTAACTTGATGGATAGATGGTATTTCTACAGGCTGGTAGTATTCACTGCGGAATTTTTAAATGTCCCGGTGAATCTATAGCCTTCCCTCAATGTCTTGAAGCACTTAGAGAACCAGGGATTTCCCCTGGCTGATAGATCTATGGAATTACAGAATTTCTGAGCCGGAAAAGATCTATGAAAGCACACATAACCACAAATCTTCTTTGATAGTAAATAGGGTATAAATAAATACCTAGTCTATTCCCCATTGATTTCCAGATGAGGTAAAGTGACTGGTACAAGGTCATTGCTACAAGCTTGATTTCTTCCATTTTAATTCAGTGCTCTTTCCACTCCTGATTGGAGTGAGCCAAAAAGGCATGTCATATTCTCCTTAGTAAGGATGCTATCCATCTAAACAGAATAATTCTATAGGGTTGCCTGCTCTAGTTAGTTTTATCTAATACAAAATTAATGTGTATCATGAGGAAGAGCTCACTCAGGAGTATACCGGAAAGGATCCTTCCCCAGAGACTATACCCTGTGGTTCCCAGTCACTAGGTCAGCTGTGTGGCCAACAAGACATAGAAAAGATGTGTGAGGGGTGCCTGGGTGGCTCAGTCAGTTAGGCGTCCAGCTCTTAATTTCTGCTCAGGCCATGATCTCATGTTCATGAGATTGAGCCCCGCATCAGGCTCTGGGTGGGTGTGGAGCCTGCTTAAGATTCTTTCTCTCCCTCTCCCTCTGCCCCTCCCCTGCTCTCACGTGCCTGCGCTCTCCCTCTCTCTCGTGCGCGCGCTCTCTCGCTCTCTCTCTCTCTCTTAAAAAGAAGAAAAGACAAGATGCGTGAGAGCCTACATGTGTGGAGGGGAAGGAGGGAGGGTGGAGAGAAAGAGAAACATTACCAGAAAAGTTTAAAGTCCCTCAATAGACTATTTATAAAGTTAACATTTTTATATCAAATATAACTTGCAATATGCCTTACCAAGTTTTTTACATTTTTAAAAATTGATCCACCTGCAAGAATATGGTATTTACTTAGCAGGTTGCTCTCCTGAAAAATGATACAGAACATGTCTTGAGTTTTGACATGAAATAGATATAAGTACCTACCCTTCTCTCCTTTCTGGCCTTTTGGACCTGGGGGTCCAACAATTCCTGGTGGCCCTGGGATCCCCATTCCACCAGCCTCTCCCTTAAGACCTGGAAATGAGATTTAAAACCATCAGGATAAAAAAAAAAAATTCTCTTTTGAAATTCATTAGTTCTGGAAAAAAAAAATTTTTTTAGGCATCATTTCATTGAGACCAATAACTGTCAGAGTCTTAATAATAAAATCCGGGTAAGACTAAAACAACTACATAATCCTAAGGACAATATTTTTGTCTGATTTATAATTTTGTGCCACCTGAATAGATAAATTGAGCCCATTAGTCCTTGTCACTGGATTCGTGGCAGCAGTGAAACGATTCAGGGAAGCACTGCCATATCAAACAACAAGGACAAAATGATTATCTGGCTCTTAACCTCACATGGACCACACTCTCTAATTGGAAGTAAAACCCAATACCTAGCATTTTTGGTTTTCTCATTCATTCACTTATGCATTTTTTCAGGAAGTATTGCTGAGTCCTCCTAGACACCAAGCACCATACGAGGTGTTAAGAATCAGCTATCAACATCCCAGCTGCTCTTTCCCTGGTGGAGCTGAGAGCCTGGGAGAGATAAACACTGAACAATAACCACACCAATAAGTAGAAATTATCACATTGCAGCTAGTGAGGCAAAGGAAAACAGGAAGGTCCCGTTATAGATTGTGCTAAAAGAACCTAATTTATGCTATCAGAGGAGACATCCCTGGGAAAATGACAAATGAACAAATTAGGATTTTCTGAGACAAAAAAAAAAGAAAAAAGAAAAAAAAACAACCCCAAAATACATAGATGAGCATTTTGGGAAAAGACCATGGTATTTTTAAGAAACTGAAAGACGAGCACAGTGGGTGGGGCGCCTGAGTGACTCAGTTAGTTAAGTGTCCAACTCTTGGTTTCAGCTCAGGTCATGATCTCGAGGTTTGTGAGTTCGAGCCCTGCATTGGGCTCTGCGCTGGGGGTGCAGAGCCTGCTTGGGATTCTCTCTCTCCCTCTCTCTCTGCCTCTCCCACACACTTTCTCTCAAAATAAACAAATAAAGTTTACAAAAATGATAATAAAATAAAATAGTTGGGTTTGAGAGGGTTTATTGTCATTTTCAAGTTTGTTAAATGTCCCTCTTATGCTAGATTTCTAACTTTTTAACCAAACAGCGTTTTTGAAACACTGAAACAGTAGAATAAATATCTATGAATCTCAGAAACAAGACCCTATTAGGCTGAGAAGAGGAAAAGACTCCTACTAGAGCTAACTGGAAAAACAAACACAATTTATTGAGCACTTATTCTAGCAGGTACCACAGTGAGTCTTTACGTGTATTACCTCATTCTGTCTCTTGATGACCCCATGAAGTTGGTACTATTCTTATCCCATTTTGCTACTCTCTTTATTGCTTATTTATTTTTGAGAGAGAGAGGGAAAAAAAGAGAGAATCGGCAGGGGAGGAGCAGAGAGAGGGAGACACAGAATCCAAAGCGGGCTCCAGGCTCTGAGCTGTCAGCACAGAGCTGGTCGCAGGGCTCGAACTCAAGAACCATGAGATCATGACCTTAGCCAAAGTCGGATGCTTAACTGACTGAGCCACCCAGGCACCTCTTAATTTTTTTTTTTTTATTTTTCATTTATTTTTGAGACAAAGAGAGAGAGAAAGAGAGCACAAGCACAAGCAGGGGAGGGGCACAGAAAGAGAGGGAGACACAGAATGCAAAGCAGGCTCCAGGCTCTGAGCTGTCAGCACAGAGCCCAACACGAGGCTCAAACTTACGAACCACGAGATCATGACCTGAGCCCAAGTCCGATGCTTAACCAACTGAGCCACCCACTCACCCCCCACTTCTACTACTTTGTAAACTGAGACTTAGGTAATGACGCTTCCCAAAGGTAAGACCATGATAAACAAGACATTCTGAGCTCTTGAACACTCTGCTCTGTGCTGACTTGGTCAGACTAAAACATATGAGCACCCCAGGCAAGCAAATAATTTGGCATACATCCAAAATGTTTGTCCTATGTATTTGGAGGAGAGACTGAGCTCTGAGAACTGCCCAGCTAATCTACCAAAGGGTGAAACAAAAGCTCTCATGTGACAGACCTACAGCCTTAGAAGACAGTTTAGCAACCAGCTGTGTTTACTTGACCATGCCCTTGGAGGTCTTCACCCTCAAGCAGCTCACCAGCCAGATATGATACTAAGAGGAATTCTGGTAAATGTGATTTTCTCGGTATCATTGCATTTCCAATAATGTTTCAGCAATCCAGAAATCTTCATGCCCTGACCACTGCCCAGCAACTCTACCTTTTAATTCCAGCTCTGCATGAATATTGATCACATTTCCCAAAAGGTTCCTACCATAGGATGAAATGAATGAAAAGCTTAATGAGGGTGCACAATTTCTGCTTTTATAACTTTAAGTTCTGCAGGCAAGACATAACAAATATATATATGTCATTTTTTCAGGGAATAGCGAATTTTAAACTGACACTCCTCTCTCAATTTTACCTGAGTTCTCTGCTATGTGACATGTAAAAGCTGAAATGTATTACAGTAAAACTCAGTATATGCATAATGTATATATTAAAGATATCTTAAATTTTGAAATATGTAACCATGATGTTCAGTGGAGAACATTGTTGGGCAAGGATACAGTGTTGCCTTGGAATCTCAATGAAGAGCAAACTGAATCCCACCCCTTATTCTCCCCATCCCAGACATGCCATTTCTTTTTTTTTTTATTTTTTTTTAAAATTTTTTTTTCAACGTTTATTTATTTTTTTGGGACAGAGAGAGACAGAGCATGAATGGGGGAGGGGCAGAGAGAGAGGGAGACACAGAATCGGAAACAGGCTCCAGGCTCCGAGCCATCAGCCCAGAGCCTGACGCGGGGCTCGAACTCACGGACCGCGAGATCGTGACCTGGCTGAAGTCGGACGCTCAACCGACTGCGCCACCCAGGCGCCCCCAGACATGCCATTTCTAATCCTAACTACAAATAGCACTCCAGAAATCCATCAGTCAAGACACATTCTAACTAGCCAGCAGAATTTTCATTTACCCTTTTTACATCAGCCATTAACGAGAAGACTGTACTGGTAGTAAGTTTGTAATGTGAAGAACTGTGTGCCAGGGTTGGGGTTGGGAGCCTGGTTTCTGCTCTAGCCAGCGCTGTCCAATAGAACTTTCTGCACTGATGAAAATGCTCTGTATCTGTACCACCCAATACAGTAGTCTTTGGCCACATGTGGCCATTGAGCATTGGAACTGTGGCTAGTGTCATTGAGGAACTGAATTTTTAATATTAATGTTTGTTTATTTTTATTAATAGCCACACATGTGGCTGGTGGGCAACACAGCACCCATTTGCATTTGTCACAGTGTTACACCTAGACCCTGTCACCATTTGCAGGACAATGTAGAAACCTTTGGGACAATTCTACCTCCAATCCACCTCTCAACTCCAAGAACATCCAGGTAGGAAATATGGCTTCATGCACTTTCAAATACCTGGCTTTCCAGTCTTTCCAGGTTCTCCTTTTTGCCCTGGGACAGATGAACAACAATCACAGCAATTCAGAAAAAAATCAGCCGTGTCAAGAGTGAAGTTTTCAAAGGGGAAGAGAGTGGCAGTACCGAAGGCAGAATCTAGGGCTGGGGGGTTGGGGGTCGGTTCCACCATTTCAGCCACTTTTGTGAAAGGAATTTCCTCTTCTTCTGGAGGTGGGCCACTGGACGGCTTTAGACCCTTCGGCATCTCTTTTCCCTCAGATTTCTTCGTAAATTTGGGATGCGGTGTGGTCTTTGCTACTGTGTCCATACCAGCAAAAGCCAAAATAATTAAAATGGCACACAGCCAAGAAAACATCCACATAGTTGAGGCTGGAAGAAAGATATAATGGGAATATATACACACATATGACATGAGATCCAAATGTAATGATTAAGTGATATAAATATATAAGAAGGAAATATATAAACGCATATGAACCATAAGAATAAACAGTATGCATAATATTGAATGGTATCTTAAATGCATTTTAATGCAAATATGTACTTGAATCACAACAGGATATTTTGTTTACTTAAAATATTTATCATAAGGAAGATTTTGCTTCAATTCTCCTTGCTGGTTGTTTTCCTAGTGCTACATGTTCTAAAATATTGTTTTCAATCATTCAAATTATCTTGCCAACTAGCGAACATGATCTATAATAAATGCAACATGACTTAATAGCTCATATACCCTGTGGAAAACAAATATGTATAATTTCCTGACTGACCTCACTCAGATTTATAGGAATCAAATACATTTGTATTAGAGGGAGATGAAAAATATTGAGCTGAGTAGTTTATTCCAGCAAACTCAATTATTTCAAGAAAAAATACTGGTGAAAGGGTCCTTAAATCTACTAGGGATAATGGTCCTGTTGTGAGAGCAATTTTTTAGAATCTATTGTAATAAATGGAGAGAGAGGGAATAAAAAGATCATAAACTTGAATATATGCTATATCCTCCGATTCTTCACATGTCATTTAACTCTCCAATTCTTCACTTCATCATTTGAGGAGTTTTCCTGAAAACTCACATTTATCCTTGCATTATTTTAATGGGGCAGAGGGTGGTTATTCTTATTAAGGCTTTTATTAATCAGAGTGATATGAGACAAAGTTCCCAATGAAGTGAAATTGTGAAGTGCAGTCCCCAGCAACTCACGGCCGTTCAGATGCTGCCAACAGATGGCCAGGGGTAGAAATGCATGATTTCTGGTTGGAAAAAGGAGCAGTATGAGGGTAAAGAGAATGGGTTAAGGATCGTAATAACACCTACTATTTACAGAGCTCCTACTATGAGCAGCTGCCTTACACTCACCCATCTAATCAGTTCTCAAAACTGCTCTGCCAGGTAGAAGACACTATTCATCTTCACGAATGAGGACACAGGAACCAAGGGGTTCTACGCCTCATTCAAGATCACGCAATCAGAAAGTTATGAATTCAGAGCTGAAATCCAAGTCTGTTTAATTTCAAAGCCTCAGAGCACCGGGCTGGCTCAGTCGGTTAAGTGTCCGACTTCGGCTCAGGTCATGATCTCACAGCTCGTGACTTCAAGCCCCACGTTGGGCTCTGTGCTGACACCTCAGAGCCTGGAGCCTGCTTCAGATTCTGTGTCTCCCTCTCTCTCTGTCCTTTCACTGCTCATGCTCTGTCTCTCTTTCTCTCAAAAGTAAATAAACATTTTAAAAAATGCTTTTTTAATTTCAAAGCCTCAATCCTTTCCCACAAATCACATGGCATTTGTAAGGACGACACTAAAGAACAGAAATCCAAGTGCAGGATCAGTGGAAGAATAAATCAGAGGAGATGAGAAAGGGTTCAGATAAGATGCTGCATTTCTAAAATCATATAAAAATCCCAAAACGCTAACTTTCCTTCAAGTTGTCTTCGCTGCCATATTCACCCTCTCAACCAGTATTTACTGAAAATCAACAATGTCACAAACACTGAGAAATCAAACATAAGCCATGGTGTTTGTCCTTAAGGAGTGTACAGTCTGCTAGGAAAGATGAAAAACAGCAAAAGCAAAGAGGAAAGTGTGAAGGGCAAGTGATCACACTGCATTTTCCCAAATATAGACCTGATGCCCCACTCTCCTCCAACCCCTGCAAATGTGAGCGCATAAACCAGAGTTACTAAGGATCAATCAGCTAAATTCAGGCCCAGCAAAAACCAGACAACAGAAGTATTCCATTTATATATAAAATAGTTCAAGTTTCATCAATTCACACAATTGCTGTCAGTAAAACATTCATTTATTTGTTCAACAAACATTTATTTGAGCATCTCTGAAGTGCCGGGTCCTGTGCTGGGTCACAGAACATAAAGACAAGTAAAACCCAGCCCCATCCCTAAGGATCCTGTCTGCACTGAACATCCGAACACAGCAAATATCCAAAGTGCCAAGTGTCCAAAGTGAAATATTGGTAACTTTTAATTCTCTCGCCACTTTGCCACACGAACTCAATTGGGCAGAATGCTGAGTATAAGTGCTCTAAGACATTACTTATGCTCTCTTAAACAAATGAAATCATATGGAAAAATAACCCTTTTTTTCCTCACTAAAACATGTCTGTGTTTTACCATGCATACAAAGTATTTCTGACCCTGAAAACATGTTATGATAGCCTCTCGGTAAGCCAATCCTAAAGTGGCCAATAAGAGAGAAGCTGATATAGTAAGAGATAAGCTGTTGGGATTGGGAGGAGAAGGGATCTAACACCAGGAACATGACAGGCATTTTCCAGGCACTTTATAATTATTATTTCAATTACATCACATATGAACCATGCAAGATAAGATTTACTATGCCCATATAATGGATTATAAAACTCAGGCACAACAAAAATAGACACAAAGATCAATAGGACAAAATAGGAAACCCAGAAATAAACCTACAATTATATGGTCAATTAATCTTCAACAAAGCAGGAAAGAATATCCAATTGGAAAAGACAGTCTCTTCCACAAATGGTAATGGAACAACTTCCCAGGAACATGGAAAAGAATAAAGCGGACCACTTTCTTACACCATACACAAAAATAAATTCAAAATGGATGAAAGACCTAGATGTGAAACCGTAAAAATTCTAGAAGAAAACACAGGCAGTAACTTCTTTGACATCAGCTGTAGCCACTTCTTTCTAGATATGTCTCCTGAGACAAGGGAAACAAAAGCAAAAATGAACTGTTAGGATTACATCAAAATAAAAACCTTCTGCACGGCGAAGGAAACAATCAACAAAACTAAAAGGCAACTGAAGGAATGGGAGAAGATATTTGCAAATGACATATCAGATAAAGGGTTAGTATCCAAAATATACTAAGAGCATATAAAACTCAACACCAAAAAACAGATAACCATTCAAAAATGAGCAGAAGACATGAGTAGACATTTTTCCAAAGAAGACATACAGAGGGCCAACAGGCACATGAAAAGATGCTCAACATCACTAATCATCAGGGAAATAAAAATCAAAACTACAATGAAATACCACCTCACACCGGTCAGAATGGCTAAAATTAACAACATAAGAAATAGCAGGTGCTGGTGAGGATGTGGAGAGAGGGGAACCCTCTTGCACTGTTGGTGGTAATGTAAACTGGTACAGCCACTTTGCAAAACAGTTTGGAGGTTCCTCAAAAAGTTAAAAATAGAACTACCCTAGTACCCAGCAAGTGCACTGCTATTTACTCAAAGGATACAAAATTACTAATTCAAAGGGATATATGCACCCTGATGTTTATAGTAGCATTATCTACAATAGCCAAACTATGGAAACAGCCCAAGTGTATGTCATCGAAAAATAGACAAAGAAGATGTGATATGTATATAATCACATACATGGTATGTTACTCAGCCATAAAAAAAGATTGAAATCTTGCCATTTGCAATGACATGGATGAAGCTAGAGAGTATTACGCTAAATGAAATAAATCAGTCAGAGAAAGACAAATGTCATATGATTTCACTCATATGTGGAATTTAAGAGGCAAAACAAATGAGCAAAGGGTGAAGAGAGAGAGAGAGAGAGAGATAAACCACGAAATAGATTCTTAACTATAGAGAACAAACTGATGGTTACCAGAGGGGAGGTGGATGGAAGGATGGGTTAAATAGGTGATGGGGATGAAGGAGTGCACTTGTGATGAGCATCAGGTGATATATGGAGGTATATATCATATACTATATATATAATTCTCTGTATTATATATAGTACTATATTATACACCTGAAACTAATATTACACTATATGTAAATTAACTGGAATTTAATTAAAAATTCCCATCAATGGATGAATGGATAAAGATGTGGTATATATATACAATGGAGTATTGCTCAGCAATCAAAAAGAATGAAATCTTGCCATTTGCAACTACGTGGATGGAACTGGAGGGTATTATGCTAAGTGAAATAGAGGAAGACAAGTATCACATGACTTCACTCATATGAGGACTTTAAGACACAAAACAGATGACCATAAGGGAAGGGAAGAAAAATCATATAAAAACAGGGAGGGGAACAAAACATAAGAGACTCGTAAATATGGAGAACAAACAGAGGGTTACTGGAGGGGTTGTAGGAGGGGGAATGGGCTAAATGGGTAAGGGGCATTAAGAAATCTACTCCTGAAATCATTGTTGCACTATATGCTAACTAATTTGGATGTAAATTTAAAAAATAAAATTAAAAAGAAAAAGTACTTAAAAATTCAGGCACAGAAAGTTAAGTAGCCTGCCTGAGTTCACAGTTTAGTAAGCAGTAGAGCTAAGATTAAAACCTAGGCCCATTTGACTCCAAAGTCAGCCCATGCACTTCCCACTGTCCCATGTTGCCTGGGGATTAATGAGTGACCATTGATGCTGCAGAAGGCATTAAGCTGAACACTTCATGGAGCTCAGCTCTAGGCCCTTCAGTGGAAGAAAGATATTTCCCACTGAGAAGAAACAGGAACTTAATGGGAGACATGAAGAAGAGAGATGAGAAGTCTGGCTCTGATGGTGGAACGTACTAGTGTGGAGCAAAGTTACAGAGGGAAACAAAGCACATCCAGCCAGAAACCAAAGAGCTACAGAAAAGAATGAGCAGAGCAACAAATGTAAGGAAGGTGCTTGGTGTCCGTATCTGGAAGTGTGAATTGTCCTCATATGTTTTCCTTGCATTGTGGCTTCCTGCTTCCCAATTTAAGTCCAGATGTTAAAGGATAATGTAGTTGGTACATTAAGACTATGATGAGGCTCCCCAAGAATTTGTACATGAGGAAAACATAGGCCCTTTGAAAACCAACAGAGGAAGAGTTGATAGCAAGCTGACAG